AGAGAGAGAGACAGAGACAGAGACAGAGACAGAGACAGAGCCACTTCAAAAGGTCTAACTAATGAACTTACTAATGAAATCACAAAACCCCCTGAAATCACCTACAGCAGTGTTATTGGAGTCATTTTATATACTGCTACTGTATTTGTTAATATTTTGAATTAGCTCCTATTTCTATATTTTCTGTTTTTAGTCATTTTAGGTTTCAGTCATTTTAATTTTTTTAATACTTCTATTTAGCATGAATTTGTTTTTTCTTTTTGTTTCAGTTTTAGTAATTATAGTACTTCAACAAAATTATTTTTTCAGTAACACTTTTAAGTTTTAGTTTTTTTTTTTTTTTAAGTCCTTTACGTTTTTCATCTAATATTTAGTATATTAATACATTCAGTTTTACTTTTTAATTTTAGCTTAAGTTTTATTACTTTTTTTATGTGCTTTTGACATTGTTATTAGTTTCTTGGTCTAACATATAGAATATTAATATAGTACAATATTTTGTCATATATATATTAGGGATATATATATTTATATATATATTAGGGATGCACCGAAATGACAATTCTTGGCCGAAGCCGAACAAAATGAAACACTGGGTCGAATATCGAACACCTAACGGTTTTTCATGTTTTTTTTCCCCCATGTATTTTGCCAATGTTTTTCACGATTGCATAAATTAAATAGCCAAAATGTGCTTTTTATGGTTTTGTCTTGATTATCAAAGAAAAAAAATCAATTACAAAACTACAATTTAAAAATATTTACTTAACACTGAATTTTTTTTTTTTTTACATTCTAGTAGACATTATACCAGCAAATCACAATTTAACTTAAAATTAATAAGTTAGTAAAATAATATTTGTTGGCCATTTTTGAGACCCCCTTCTTGAACCAGGCATGTATTTTTTACTGTACAAATAAATGCAGCCTTGCTGAGCAGAAGAGGCTTCTTTTAAAACATTAGACTTTTTTTGCACCCTCAGATTCCAGATTTTCAAACAGTTGTATCTCGGCCAAATATCGTCCTATTCTAACAAACCATTCGGAGAAGGACAAGGAGCTGCTCTGCGTGGTCGAGCGATTGGTCAGGATCTGTCGGGAGGGGCCGCTGGTTGTCACCGTTACGCCGTTGTCATGGTTACCGTTGTCGAGGGAGAGTTGCGGAGGAGAGTCCACCGACTGGCTGGCGCTGTTGACCATGACTTTCTTCTCGGTGTGTTTGGAGTTGGATGGGAACGTCAGCGATGTGAGCGAGAGATCTTGCGTGTCTGAGTCCGTCTCTTGCCGAGAGGCCATACTACTGGAGCGACTGAAACTAACACACACACACAAACACACACACACACACACACACACACACACAGAGTTATGAGTCAAATGACGTCACTTATACACACTTAACTACACACAGTCTCCCATTAGATTCTGTTTAACGCTGCACTAAACAGCAGAAACTAGGCCATATTTGAGCCGGAGCATGAAAATATATGAGTACAGCTTGGCTCAGGATTCTGGCATCTTCACAGAAACCGAGATGCATTTCTTTCAGGATTTTTTGATGAATAGCAAGTTCAAAAGAACAACATTTATTTGAAATAGAAAACTTTTGTATAATTATATTATAATTTAATTATAAATGCCTTTACTGTCATTTTGGTCAGTTTAATGCTTCCTTGGTGAATAAAAGTATTATTTTCTTGTAAAAAATAAATCTTACTGATATGTACATATCTATATAATAATTGCATTATTACAATAATGTTATTGCAATCTTTGCATTGTATAGTCTCGCACAGTTTTTGTTCTGATTTTCAAAAACAGAGCTGGTTGGTTTGGTTCAAGACTCTTTTTATTGATGAATCTTCTAAAATATTAATAGAAAAACTGAATGAGGAAAAATACTTCCAGTACCAAGCCAAGGCTGCTGAAAAAGTGGCTGCTTACAGTTGAGTTCTGTTTCTGAGACGAGGTTTATTATACAGCGAGCGAGAAACAGGAAGTGAAACAAACTCACGTCCAGCCGTCCTCCACTTGAACTCCGATCGACTGGAATCTGGCCAGCGGTGGCGTCTCTACTTTAGCCTGGATTTCCTGAATGCAGTCGACCTACAAACAGCGGTGAAATATCAGCACTCAACTTAAAGGAGTCATATGATGCGATTTCATGTTTTCCTTCATCTTTGGAGTTCCAAGCTGTTCGTGCATATATAAGATCCATAAAGTCGCAAAGATTAAAGTCTCAAACCCAAAGAGATATTCTTTATAAAAGTTAAGACTCGTCCACGCCCTCCTAAAACACCTCATTCAAACACGCCCCCACATGTCTACATCACTGTGTTGGACGATTTGCATAACACCGCCCAAATGTTTACGCAAAGAAAGAAGGCATAACTTTTATTCTCGCTGTAGTATTTTGTTGTCGTGGAGATGCTGTGTGTTTCCAAATATGGTAAGAGGCGTAACATTTCCGTCACATGCTTGAGGTATTCGGCCAATCACAATGCACTGGACAGCTGGCCAATCAGAGCACACCGTGCTTTTCAGAACGATAAGCTTTGTAAAAATCTACGCATTTCAGAAAAGCGGGGAAGAGAGAGGAGCAACAATAATGTACGGTATGTGGAAAATAATGTGTTATTGAACCTTAAACCGCTAAACACATTGCATTACACAAAATACACAAAATAATGTTAGTTTTAGCATCGTCATGAGTAGGGTTGGGAATCGAAAATCAATTCCAATTCCAGAATTGAATACTCAAGGTCAGGAATCGGATACTTGTTGCAAAATTAACATATAAATTCCTGTGTGTGCAACTTTTTTTAGATGCTTATCAAAAATGTATTTGTCTTTGAATCATTCATTCAAAAGATTTATTCAAAAACACTGATTCATCCAGTAATGAAACTAAATCTCGAGTGAGTCGTTGAATCATTCCATTCATAAATTCTATGAGATTTTTACTCATCTTGTGAGAGAACTACAACCTCCATTAAAAAAAAAAAAAAAAAACGCTTCAATTTATCCAGAATCATGGAGCTCTATTTTGCACACAAACAGCTCTTAATTGAGCCCAGTTTTTATGAAGCCGGCTGATTTTTATGTTCATGGTATTCAGCAGCAATTAAATATGTTTTGCAAAAAGAGACAGAATAAATATGTTTGATATCTAAATGTATCTAAATCTTTTTTTTTTAACCACATTGGAATCGAATCTGGGAATTGATATTTATTTATTCACTTTTTACCGCCATGCCAGCATCAAGGCAATTTTCATGGCTATCTCTGAATAAATTATACAAGATATCAAATTAACAAAAGCTTAATATAAAAGACATTTCAGATGTACACTAGACAAAAATTCTAAAATACATTCTGGTGATACATTTTTAAATAAATCAGTTAGAAACACCTCTAAATAAAACCGTTGTTTATTCACATTAAAAACAGTACAATCCAATAAAATATGAAGAGTTTATTTGCAAAAGCAGATAACTCCGTTTTTTTAAATTTTCAAAAAATCATGTTTTTTATTATGTAATCATGTTTTTATTGTTTTATTGTATTAGTTAGCTGTAATAATTAGTTATTTTTTAACCTAATCAAAATAACCCAACTAAAGTTTGATTGAGATTAATTGGAACGCACAATGAAAAAACATGATTTCTGAGAATTGTTAAAAACGGAGTTATCTGTTTTTGCAAATGCACTCTTCATATGTTTTTGGGAATCGATAAGAATCGGAATTTATCAAATTCAAACGATACCCAACCCTAGTCATATGACCCCTTTAAAGAAGGTATGCAACCCTAAAATCCACTCATATTCAAGTGTGTGACAGCCTGAGCTCAGTAAACTCACTTGAATCCCAATGGAGGAGAGTTTCCGTCTCGGGACGGGGTCTACAGGGGGTTCGTCCGCAGCGAGCGCCTCCCCCTTCACCTGCATATGATGGGACTCTCGGAGCGCGTTGGGAGAGATGACAACGGCCTGGGGTACACGGGGCGGCGCTACAGGAAGCTGGGGTCGTGACCCTTTGGCCAGGCTGTCGAGGCTGTCGGAGGAGTTGCTGCGTCCTGATTGGCTGTTTACCTCGCTCTTGCGGTCGGGATAGCAGTCCTGCACAGACTCGGTGCTGCTCTGCACGGTGACGGAGATGAAGGGTTTGGAGGTGGTTCGAGGGGGAACAGGAGGCGGAGCCACCCTCTTACAGGAGGTCATACATGTGGAGACTGCAGACGCGGAGAGAAAGAAAAATAAAACATTAGCGTGATGAGATGGAAAGACATTTGACACGTCATTCAAACTCAGTATGCAAGACATGAAATCACTTCGGTGGTTGACGTGATGTATATTTGAATGTATGCAAGTACACACACACTATTTTTCCCATAATTTATATGCACAACCCAGCCCTGTTTAACATAATAATAACTATATGATCATTAGACTACAGCAATGAATATATAACATACATACATAATGAATATATTCCTCTTATACAGCTTAATATATCTTAACATATATGTTATATCTTAATATAGCTATATATTATATAATATAACTAAATATTATATCTTATATCTTAATATATAACAGCAATCATAGCATATATAAAAATATATATATACTAATTATTATTTTTTAAATAATATTTGAAATACATAACTTAATAATAATGATTAAATATGTATGAATTTAAAATTTGTTCTAAATGTTCACACATTAATTTTCAATTCTTTGTTTTGATGCTTCAAAATTAATTTCCATAAAAGGTTCATTAATTTGGCTCTAGTGCTATTAAGAGTGACTTACATTTTTTTTAAATACATATAAAATCATCATAAATTCAAATTAATTGTCAGAATACACATATGAATAGAATTTTACATTTAAAACTTCTATATTTTTTCCCAAAAATATTTTTTTTGACACAATAACTAAATGATTGTTAGGCTGCAATTAATACATAATATACATGAACATGTTCCTGTGGCTCAGTGGTAGAGCATTGCGTTAGCAGCGCAAAAGGTCATGGGTTTGATTCCCAGGGAACACACATACTGGTAAAAAATTTATAGCCTGAGTGCACTGTAAGTCGCTTTGGATAAAAGCGTCTGCTAAATGCATAAATTATTATTAAATTAATTATTAACATCTTGAAAACAACTACAATCGTAATATATACAACCAATTATTGTTTTTTATTTTTTAAATAATGTTGATGTTTTGTAACAAATTTATTTTTGATGCTATGCATTTATTGCTTCAAAATCAAAACATTGCTGCTGTAAAAGTTTCAATAATTATTCACTAGTGCTATTAATAGTAAAGTAAAGATTACAAATAGACAAGAGTATATATATTTATAAAACTGAATATTAAAGCTGACTCAAACACACAAACCTGCAAAGGCAAAGATTGATGAGCAAAGGCTGTTGGCAACAATAATAATAATAATAATTCTATATACTATTAACAACTAGCACTAATTCTCAGCTGTAGTCTGGTCTGGTCCTCACAGCTCTCAGCGTGTACATGTGTCCGTGTGTGTGTGTGTGTCCGTGTTTATGATGGCAGTGACTCTGACGTCAACTCAACACAGCCTGCGACCTTTCTTTCCAACGACACAGTTGTTTTTCCAGCCCCAAAGCGGCCCCAAAATGTATCTGGACTCCAAAGCCACGCTAAAATCTCTGAATGTCACTGCAGCATTAGATAACAAAATATCAGTCTGAGTTGTAAAGAAAGATTCACAAACACACTAAAATCTGACATACAGATCCTGCTGCATTTTAGTGCATAAGAGTATTTGACCTCATTCATTTACTTGTTCACAGAACTGATTGCATTAGCAGTTTTTAATGGGTTACTGGATTTAAATCAAGACAGAGAGAGAAATAAAGTGGATTGCATTTACATTATGCATTTAGCAGATGCATTTCTCCAAAGTGACTTACAAAACAAAAAGCAACAATATTCGTAATATACAATGCCAGTTTATCAGATAACCAGATTAGGAAGCAAGCTAAAGAAGAGGAGAAATGCAGAGAAGAGAAAGATTTTATTTCGCCCAATATATGCCCATTGTAACCCCAGTGTGTGTGTGTCTCAGTGTGAGTTCACAGCACCGCAGCAGCACTCGGGTGGAGTTGGCAGACGGAAACGATGGCAAACATAACAAGCCCACAGGAATCCCGTGTGTGCTGTAAATCTGAGCGTCAGAGCCGCATGCATGTTTCATATTCAAACATTATGCAGAATCTCTAGACACAAAAATAATATTCTTAAAAACGTTCCTTTCTTAAAATGACAAAGCCATACTCAGACTCCAAACACATTTAGTGCAGCTGTACATGTTAAACGAGCTCTCACGACAGCTCATAAGCCCAGCTCAAACGCTTAAAAACATTCGCAAACATACGGACAAAAGCTGATCTACATGCGTGCGTTCATGTTCAGTTCCTGAATGTATGAAGGGGAAGACGGTAGGCTAGTCGATTGCTCAGGTCGGCTTGTTTATTTAATGCGTTAAAGGGGATAAATTTAGAGATGCAACTTGATGTTTCTGCGCATGAATCATCAGGGCAAGTTCTTCTAAAGAATCTCTAATCAAAATAACACACGCTCCCTCTAAAACAACTTTCTGCTTCTGTTTGTTACATATGCCTAGTGGGTTATTGGATCATTTTAACCAAATGCCAATTATTAATATAGTTTTATGTGCATTCTGTCAGCCTCACGTTAATCATTTCCCAATGAAACCAGTTTAGAATAATTTCCTGTATCACTCTGAACTGACGCAAATTACAGAGGTAAACTTGCGACTGGCAATTGTTTTTCTCTGCTTTGGACAAAATTATGTTAAATGCAACTGCTGCATCCCAATTCGCTTACTTATATCACGCCCTAAAAGTATGTACTCTTTGTGCAGAAAAAGTACATACTTCTGAGTGTTTACTGTATAGTAGGCAAGCTTTGGGACATACTGTAATACTTCGCCATAATTGCATCTTCACCATTTACACGGCCACTTTAGATACTGATTATTAATCACTCAAACCCCTTCATCTAAACCTCCGTTTAACCATCGGCCTCACATATCTGCCATATTTGTAGTTCTTAACACTTTTTATTTGTGTTTGTAGTTCTAATTGAATTCTCGTCCTATGTGCAATGGATTGTGGGCAACATTAGCCATTAGAGTGCGCATGGATCTGCACTTCAACATACTACAAATTGGGACATACTAATTTTAATTTTGAATACTATTTAGGATGGACAGTATGTGAATCAGGAAGCAGCATAAATGTTCAGCACAGAAAACCAGAGGACAATAAATCACTTGCAAAGCAAAAAGCAAATGACAGACGTGTTCTCTCAACATACATATCATATTTATAAATCGTCAGGTGGAGAGATCTTCTGCAAACATTGATTGGTAGATGTGTGTTTGTGATTAAGGCGGGAATGTATGACAAGCTAAAGGCCACCAACAAATATCTGTTTGCATGCCTTAATATCTAAGAGCTGGATTCCTCAAACTTACTCAATATCAGATTTGATCTGGTCTCAAAAGATCTCTGTCATCCAGACGTTACAAAGCAGCGTAAATTCCTACGTTTTTGTTGTGAAGGTTAAATCTGCTTTTCAGCCCTTAGAGACAAACACCTTAAAATCCAGCAAATGTCAATTCAGAAGTGTCCATTCACACAACTAAAACTCTCTTTATAGTGTTGCCTTCACATCTTAAATAATGAAGCGACTGTGCCATTAGCTGAGTCAACACTGGTGTGGTGTGTGTGAGCCATCCAGTCTGACTTTATCATTCAGGTGTGGCCATGATCGCAATAATCCTTCGTTCTCTTCGGTATTCACATCTGCGCCTTCACAGAAAGGTTTCATTCGCTGGAATTCAACAGTAAGAGAGCCATTATGAAATCAGCATTAGATGCAGCTGGTGTATTTTTACGGGTCTGTTTGGAGCAGCTGCTGTAATGTCTGTGTCAGCATCCTAGATCGCCTGTGGAAAGACTCTACGCTTCTGCATAAATCATTCATTAGGCTAGAAATCCCGGGTTTCTGAAGAGCAGAGGCTTGCTTGCGTGAATGAAACGAGACATTTACTGAGCCATGAGGGAATGTTAATAACTTGCTGAACAACTCTAAAGCGGAGAGGGTCTTGTTAATGACCGGTTCTCAAAACCTTATTCTAGAAGCAAATACTAATTTCCTTAAGTACATTAAGTAGAAATCACTTTAAACTTTGGATGGAAAGCTCTCTATGATGATAGTTTTCAAATAGGACGTGCAGATCGATCCCATTAGCCATTACACTGAAAAAAATTATACTATTTTTTTTTTTTGGTAAGTGGTTGCAAACAATTTACTTTAGCTACATTTAATAATAAAAAAAAAAATGTTGAAAGTTAGTCAACTAAATTTGTTTATTTAAATGTATTATTTATTTAAATTTATTTAAATTTTCTCTCAGTGTACTAATTCCTCTTATGCTGTGTTATGTCAAAGTTTCGGATGAGAAATAAATCTTTGTCAAACTTTTAAAATGAAATAAAATCACATAAATAAAATAAAATTATTTGTATTTATTTTTGTTTATGAGAATATAAAACAATGAACACTGAGTATAAGGACAATTACAAAAAAGTTTAAAAGTAAAACATCCGAGTGCATTAATGATGTTTTTTTTGGAAAATGTGCTTACTTATAATGATAATAATGTGTTAATGCAAAGATAGATAGACAGACAGACAGACAGACAGACAGATAGACAGACAGACAGATAGATAGATAGATAGATAGATAGATAGTGTACACATGTATGTAAATAAATGTTTAGCCAATAACCTGATGCACGTCTTCTTTAGTATTTTGCTTTAAGTATCTTTAAGTGTTCCGCTGTCATCAATAAAGCCACACATGACTAATTTTAGTGTTATTATGATGAACATTGCCATAGAAACGAGTCTGAGGATGTGAGCAGCTCATGTTAGTCATCTTGTAATTACATAAATCCTGTCAAAGTGAAGGCAGTGTGAATCAGATGACGCCAATATCAGTATGTGATTCAGAAGTGATTCTTACGGTTGCATAGCGCCAGAAGACAAAACACCACTGTGACATCATCACGCCAACATTCCGCTCATGTCTGTGACATACATGTTGCAGAATTCCTCTCAGTCACATTCCAGGTCTAGACCAAGCCTATTGTTGGGGAGGTCATGTTTGGGACAGTCATGTGACCTCATAAGCATGCTTAGTTTGGTTATGATGTCAAGGTTTTCACCATATTATTTTACTAGAGCGTTTCACCAACTCTCGTTTGATTTTGCGTGACTTTTCAATATGCAGAACTGTGTGACGTTTATGACAAACCAAATCTTATGAAAATCTGATGCACTGGACTGTTGCTGCCTGTTGCTGTTAATTCATGTTCATGGATCTTGACCTTTCCAATATGTCAGATGCACTGTGGTAATAAGCATCCACTGCTAATGCAGCATCTTGACATTAATACCCTCTATAGCCGCAGAGCTTCTACTTCTTCGGAGGTTTGTTCAATGCAAACTGAATGCCACATCAGAAAGACTTTAAACGTTGATGTAGCTCAGTTCACTTCCATTATTTTCTTTTACTGTACAATGAAACTAGATCAAACATGGTCTTTGTGAAGGGAAACATTTTTTTTTAATCCGTAATGCATTATGACATCTATTCCTCAAAACAATCTCTCCAAATGAGCTTGTTATGTTTTGCTGAATAACATTCTAATTGAAATAATTAGGAAAAATCCTGACTAATAATACAGCAGCAAACAACACAAATCCTGTAAGACAGAAATAAGAAGCTTTGTGTAGAATACAGGTAATAAATGCAGCTGATGTAAAAATGCACAAATGACAATCAGGTCATTGTTTTAGTTGCTTACTCAAGTGGAATATGAGCTCTAAATCGGAGCGATGCAGTGACCAACGCCACTGGAATCTGTACGGATTGGGTCATTATGTGGATTTGGAAGAGTTAGCTTAATAAACCAAATACACATTAAATGCATTTATTCCCATAATCCAGGCAAGAATTTGAACTAATCAAATGATTAGCAACAAGAACGGCGCTTCATCCAGCTTTCTGTGGTCTAAAACTCTTTCATAAAGCGTTTATAACCTCCTTGAGGTTACCAATAACTGAAGCAAAAACGAGCAAATGGAAATCGCAAACCTCCTGACCTGAGAAATCTCACATTATTTTGCCATTTTACATTCTAGGACATGGGTGTGTTAGTAAGTTCACTAATTCTGGGTGTGATGAAGGTTGTAGAACTAATAAAAGCCCTAATTACAGGCTTTTCTGCTGCTGACACTTAGTTTATTGCGCTGACGGTTCATCTAAGTGTGTGTTCCTCACCTCAGAAACAGCCTTAAAACCTAGTCAACATATTAGTAGAATACTACGCATAAAAGATTTTAAGAGGTTAAAGGGATAGTTCACCCAAAAATGAAAATGTTGATCCAAAACTGTATGAATTTCCTTGTTGACTTCCATTGTATGCCCCAACAAAATATCTACAAAATGTCTTCTTTTATGTTTATGTTTTGGAAAAACTTGAGGGCGAGTAAATGATGAAGGTTAACTATCCCTTTAAAGGTTTGATTTATCTAAAAACTACAAGTTTTAAGGTTGTTTTCTGGTGTTTTTGTTTATTTTACTAAAGCTGCTGTGAAGTTTTTCCCTTTTCATAAGGCACAGAAAATAGCAGTATGGATTTAGAATGTCATGAGGATGAGCAAATAATGACAGAATCTCCATTTTGCGGTGAACTACTCCTTAAAATGAGCTTATTTTTCTCCCAGCGTTTCTTGAGACACTTTCCAAGAAAGCAGCATGTGTCAGCTACTTCTAAACGCTGCTGATGTTTAAATGCTGTAAAACCCCAAAGAGAAGAACTATAGCAACAGCAGCCATGCAAACAAAGCCTCTAGATTGCCATGAGAGGAGATCATACTATCCACCGTTTTGAAGTCATAAACAATCAGATCAAGCAGCAGAGAATGTGCTTTTGTGCGCTTAAAGTCAACAGTAAGGATGGTTTTGATTTCATGTTGACTTCAACACAAAGATTACAACCTGGAATTGCAGCTACAGAAATCATATGTACAGAAACATTCACTCAGAAACCATAAGGCAAATATGACATTAATGCTGCATAAAGCTCTCCAGCACAAGAGCTTTGAGCTTAGAGGGAGAAAGTTAAAGGGGTCATATGATGCGATTTCAAGTTTTCCTTTCTCTTTGGAGTGTTACAAGCTGTTCGTGA